TGTATCCGATACTTCCTAGTTCACTGAGGAATTTTGATTTTTAGGCACTGCCCACTTGCAAAAACACAGTCATCAAGTTTGAAAACTAAAAGATAAATTTTTCACCAAGATAGTTGCACCATTTTTACTACAAATTGACTTCATTTTTGTTAAATTCAGATTTGTAACTAATGCCATACCAATTAGTTTTCTTGCGTGAAAGAGAACCTTTTAAACGGCTTGTTTCCCTTTTGGAAACTTCTTTGTCTATAGATGAACTATTATTTCAGCTACCGCTGCAAAAGCATCTATTTTTTTAATAAAAACTATGAGACTTTTTTCTATTTAAGAAAAACACCTTGCAAAAAAGTTTTATCGGTGACAGCCATTTTCTTTTTTTAACAGTTTCAAGCATAAGTAATATTTCCAAGAATTTCTGGGGCATTTCTTTTTTCAATATAATCATGGTCAGTTCCTAAACATAGTCTAAATACCAGTAGGTTTAGGTTTAGGTTTAGGTTTAGGTTTAGGTTTATAAAATCACAAACTTTTCTACATAAAAGTATTATACATGTATGTCATATCCCAATCTGTGATTAGTCCTTTAAGCTGATGTACAAGTATCATTATGATGGCCGCAGACAGTCAACAGTTGACAACACTACACCCTGGGATTCCAAAAGAACACAGGCATTATTGTTGTTTGTTTGTTTTTTTAACACCGCTCTCAGCAATATTCCAGCTATAGGACAGCGGTCTATAAATAATCGAGTCTGGACCAGACAATCCAGTGACTGATATCATGAGCATCGATCTACACAATTGGGACAAGATGACATGCATCAACCAAGTCAGCGAGCCTGACCACCCAATCCCGTTAGTTGCCTCTTTTAACAAACAAGCATACTCGCCTCTTACAACAAGCATAGTCACCTGTTACGGCAAGCACCTGTTCTACCCCGGATCTCCACGGGTCCATAATTGAAGGGTCTCCTTGGTATGTAGGGTGTCAAACAGGAACATGTGCCAACAAGGTCAGGGTATGTTGACAATGTGATTAACTGATGAAGAATTATGTTTTTAGAAAACTGAGTGAGTGAGTGAGTTGGGTTTAACACCGCTTTTAACAGTATTCCAGTTATATCACTGCGTGTCAGCTTAATGTGGGAGGAAAGCCCAAAGTGATGCAGGTCTCAGGCGTTAACCACTTCGGTGAAACCCACGAACACGGGTATGGTGCTGACAAACCTAGAAACATAATTGGGGCGAACCGGGATTCGAACCATTGGTTTCTGGTGTGCCCAAGGGACACAACTCTGCACACGATTTTTAGGAATCTGGACAAATGGACGACTATTAAAGACAATGAAATGTGCACTATTAAAGGTGTTGGAAATAGCTACCCAAAACACATGCCTAAAAGCAACAGGTGGTTCAGTCATGTACAGGCAATACATGGCAAGTAACAGTTACTGTGGGAATAAAATGATTCAGATGCAACAGAACTGCACTCTTGGCAGTTAAAATTGATGTTTTTTAATACTTTTACCTTGACATCTGCATGATCACTTAATAATGACGCTGTGTATAATTCTATTCCTGTGAATTTAAGTAAATTATATTTTTTTTAAATTAGAAATTGAAAAAATTGTGAAAGATATGAAGTTTTATGCAGAAATAACAAAAGGTGAATGGAATTGGCTCTGTTAACAAAACCTAATTTCAACTTGTGTGTTGCCATGGAAACCCAATAGTATGTGTGAATTTCACACATTTACATTTTGTTGTAAACTGATGACATACAATAGACAATAATGCATATATCAGAAATAAAACATGAATGATGGTATTCTTTGATAAACTTATGACACACAAACTATACAAAGATATATTACGACTGCTTCATTCACTATTTTGAATTTCATTGTCAGTGGTATCACAGGAATTCAAAGTGCCGGCTCAAAAGTTCTGTTTATAGAGATATATTTGTGGGGTTTTTTTGTTTAACGCCGCATTAAGCAATATTCCAGCTATATGACGGCGGTCTGTAAATAATAGAGTCTGGACCAGACTGTTGATTACAACATGAAGTTCCAAACAATCTTGAGTCTTTATTCTTTTCTTATTCTTGTGTTTAAACTCTCATGTACAAACATTAGATTGACTGTAACAAATAGAAAGGATTTCATTGAGTATATGGCTTTTGAATTTCCTAAATTTACACATTAACTTCATAATACAGCAGTAATACTAGGTTGGGCTTGTTTACTTTACAAAGGCATGAACATTTAACAGTAAGGTAAATTACAACACAAACCTGGAAATTGCACTAAGTACATAATAGTCCAATAAAATGTACGGAAACAATGCCTTAACTGCACTAAATAAACAGGAAGCTTAATATTTCATATACCTTTCATAACCTTAGGCCATGAGAATATTTATGAACAAAGTTGAAGTCTAGGGTGTATTTCCATGAGCCAAGTCTAAACCAGCCACAAACCCTCAATTATGAAGAATTAAGATACTGTGTATGGTAGAAATTAAGAAGATGCATTTATAAACAAATTCCTATTTATGAATTTTCAAATGAGTGACTAAATGTGCCTTACCATTACTTAAGACCTCACTGGCTCCTCGCATGACTTCCTCATGCATGCTGCTTAAAGCACATGGTGACATGACCACACCAATCTGTGATTATCTCCCTTCTTATTAAGGTTGATGTAAAATTGGCACATCATCAAAAAATGAAACATAACATTCAAACCCAGGAAATTAAATAAACATCCTAACCATAACAATTATTTAATATTGTATATTGCTGTTGTTATATGTAATACATAATTTGTGGAAATTCTTGAAACCAGATTTGATACCTCCTTAACCAATTAAGCTATCATAATTGATAGAAAACAGAAATAAAACATTTTGACCATTACACAGACAATCCAGTGATTGACATCATGAGCATCGATCTGCGCAATTGGGATACGAGGACATGCATCAACCAAGTCAGCGAGCCTGGCCACCCGATCCCGTTAGTCGCCTATCACGATAAGCATAGTTGCGTTTTACGGCAAGCATGGGTTGCTGGAGACCTAGATATAATACATGTATAGAGGTTTGCTTGACATAAAAAAAGGAACGGTTTCATTATATTTAATAACAACTTCTGATTCTAAATAAATTCCAAATATTCACTAAAACTTTCAAAACTGGTGGTACAGAGAAATGTGTTTGGGGTGTAAAATGCACCAGATAAGTTTCAGGTGCGTCCGCCATTTTGAATTAGGCAAAAGGAGCCAGCACCTTCATGTACCGACTGGCATGATGTGCCTCAAAACCACACAGTTGCTTTGATTGGTTAATGGTTTGTTGTTTAACGAACACAGGCATTATTGTTGTTTGTTTGTTGTTTAACACCGCACTCAGCAATATTCCAGCTATAGGACAGCGGTCTGTAAATAATCGAGTCTGGACCAGACAATCCATGATTAATATCATGAGCATGGATCCATGCAATTGCGTTCGATGACATGCATCAACCAAGTCAGCGAGCCTGACCACCTGATCCAGTAAGTTGCCTCTTACGACAAGCATAGTCACCTTTTACGGCAAGCATGGGTTGCTGAAGACCTGTTCTACCCCGGAATCTTCATGGGTCCAGTTGCTTTGAAATGCCGCCATGATCCAGTGGACAGTGTCTGACTGGAGAGTGGGAAGATCGGTGGTTTGATCCAGGGGAGTGTCATACCAAATGACATTAAACGCTTGTATTTGGATAAAACAAGGACTGGTCGGCTTAGAGTCAGTTCCATGTTAAAACTGTGGCAAGGTCCCTCAGTGGGCTAGTACTATATAACCTGTGTTAGTCCGGACTAGTATAAGAACACACCCACCAACACACACATGAATGCACATCACTATGTAAGTGCAATAAGTGAATGAGAGAGTGAGTACTGTTATACACTGCTTTTAGCAATGGTCCAGCAATATCACGGCAGGGGACACCAGAAATGGTCTTCACACATTGTACCCATGTGGGAAATCAAAACTGGATTTTGGCGTGACGATTGAACACTTTAACCACTAGGCCACCCTACTGACCCGTAAGTGAAATAATCTTGGAATGCCACACATTGAGCTGTCCCCAAACCAGACACCCGGGCCCACTTGCACAAAGCCATCTTAGTGCTATGACTATTGTAAGTCTATGTTAAAGAATGGGAGTTGTAAACATCTTAGCGCTAAGATTGCTTTGTGCAAGTGGGCCCTGATCCCCCATTGAGTTATTGCAGTTCTTTCACGTGTCTATTAGCATAAGAATGTAGGAGGAAAGCCCAGAAATGTTCTGACTAGGGTTCTTTATAGGGAATCATACAAAAAGAACCCTAGTCAGCACAATCCTAGGCTTTCCTTATATAGGAGGAAAGTCCAGGAATGTGCTGACTAGGGTTCTTTATCAGGAATAAGACCCGTGAAGATCCGGCGTAGAATAGATCTTCAACCCATGCTTGCTGTAAAAGGCGACTATGCTTGTCTTAAGAGGCAACTAACGGGATCAGGTGGTCAGACTCGCTGACTTGGTTGATGTATGTCATCATATCCCAATCGCAGTGAACAATGCTCATGATGCCAATCACCGGATTGTCTGGTCCAGACTCGATTATTTACAGACCGCTGTCATATAGCTGGAACATTGCAGAGTACGGCGTTAAACAACAAATAAATAAATATATATCAGGAATCAGGATTTCCATCCTACAATCATCACCGGATTGTCTGGTCCAGACTCGATTATTTACAGACCGCTGTCATATAGCTGGAACATTGCAGAGTACGGCGTTAAACAACAAATAAATAAATATATATCGGGAATCAGGATTTCGATCCCACAATCAGCATATTCTGGCTTGTGGAAGGGATGCAAGCAAATCAATAGTGCCTTCATCCTCATCCACTGGGCACCCAATGCCATGCATGTCCTTCGTCATCAAAACAATGAAGACAAACACCGATTCTGGTTTTACATGGGTATGTTTATTTGCTAGAGATTACATGTCAAAGAATGTACGAAAATATCATGTCATTCCACATTGAATATCTGGAGATACAAATGTCTGAATCTAGCCCTCTAAAATATTGAGATGAGAAACAATGCTATGTGTGACGTAGACGGAGGGGCAACACTCGCCTCCGCTAGGCAGCCTCAAGCTGTAAAAGTACCAGTGTTGGAAAAACGATGAGTGTGGAGGAGACATGCGCAAAACTGACGGTACTGAACATCCGAGACCTATCACTTCCCAATGTATGCAGGGACACAGTTACTTCAGCCTACTTGCAGCTTAATAATACCATAGGAAAGAAGATGCGTCACTTCACTAAACACACACCTTAAGTTTGTCCACACTTTCGAACATGATTCAGGAAAACAAAATACTGTATTCGACGTAGTAGGGCACAGGGCGCTCTAAAAATTAGAAATAAGGGGCCCTTATTAGAATATTATTTTGGTGAAAAAAAACAGTTGAAAGATAAATATCATTATATATGTACGACAGACATTTTTTCCAGAATTTAATTGCCCATAATTAAGGGTGCATATAACACATGAGTGCGTATTATACGCGAATAAAAAAGTCTTGTGTACATTGATCAATTGGAAGGGGTGCTAATTGGGATTGTTCACTAGCCAATATATTAGCAAATGTCACCATGGGCGCTTATTAGAGTGGGGCGCTTATTACGTCGAATACGGTAGCTTGATAATCTGCTTGCCTTGATCATTTTCAATTGAACTGTTTGGTCTAGGAGCTGGTGCTTAAACACATCACCGTTACAGAACATAAGGTGTTGATGGACTGGGACTAAAACACTCTCAATAAGAATTAAAAGTTTCTATATGCACAACCAGAATTGATATTTTCTCTTTTTCTATGCCCCGGATGCCCTGTACCATTAATACAAAACGTGAGTAGACTCTAAACGTCCAGAAATGCTATTTACACACACTGACCTCGAAATAAAGATCGTCTGTTTCAGAAGAGAACAACCTGAAACAATTCTTTGATTTTTTTCCAAAGATGCTGATATATTGAAACCACATCTTTTTTTTTACACAATTTTTTTGTCATATTGGTCTTGGGAATCGATGGAAAGTATGGATCATATTCCATGGGTTAAAAATATCTACACAAAGCTTAGGCTTGGATAAATATAATATGCATAAATTACTAATGGGGGAATGACAGCAACAACACAAACAAGCATGAGTTATCTCCCCTTGGCGAATTGACAGACAATAAAAACTGTATCCGTTACAGTAATATTGAGCTCACGATCTTAGAACATTGCAAAAATGATCCTAACTGAGAGAAATCACAAAAGGGACCAGTTAAGTCCTAAATTATCTTTCATGGGAGGGTATTTAAAGAGTTACTCATTCTCAATTAGAGTTCACTTGCTCTCTGAACATTCGACTAATTGGTTCACAGTCATAGCAAACAAATATCTTGCATAGGTACTAATGCTATTGTGTAACAACCAAATCAACAACAGGTCTGAGAAACTGGAGGCAACTTGGCCCCTGAATTAACAGAGGTCCAGCCTGATACCACACAACAGATAGTTCAACAAAGCCTATCTGTTCAGGTCTACTTCAATGTCTGATCAGAAATACCGACCACCCTATTAGTCAACTTCCAAGGGGTGACAGTTTGCATCAGTAGAAACTGCAAATCAGCTATTTTGTCATTTGAAAACAATTCAGTCCATAAGGTCACAGTTCAATCATCTGCTTCACTGAACGAAAACAATGCTCCACTAAACTCATATACCCTTCGAAATAATGCCTCTTGAACTGAAAGTATCTTATGACAAAGCAACTATAATGCCCCTTGAATACTGAATGTATTTCTCGTAAGTTTTTCGTACCTACACTAGCGGTTTAAGTGCATTACTGCTCATGGCTGACTACCTTGCAAGATTTTTTATTCTACTGAGAACAAGTAAGGGTGTTTTTATTATCTTTTCGAAATGTTAGAAATGCGGATGAAGTCTGCTTGGACAAAAAGACATATCCATTTTTTGGTCCTTGTGGCGGCGAAGGCCATGACAAAAGGAGGAGGTGGCACAGAACTGACGAAAATAAACTTGCAGATTTACCAAGCTAATAGAATCTATCTCAAGTGCACAGGCTGTAAAGAGGAAGCTCATTATGTTACAAGGCATCACCAAGTGCTGTTGATCAACATGACGAAATGAGCATGAACGTGTGATCCAGACATCAAATCTGGGCACCTTGGTCTGTATCCATGGAAACCACAGTCACCATGGCAACAAGTGTCACCACAGGCATGCAATACACATGACTCAGACCATTTATTGATAAATCTATCTAACTTACTTTATCCGTTACCTCGAGAAGCTTTCTCGTATCTTTTTACCAATGCTTCGACAGTGACTAAAGTGACAGGAAGATTTTACTGCTGGTGGGAACAGCGGGTCCTTTCATATGAAAGCAGTACGCTCAAACTGTCTACATATTTACATATAGCCTAAGCATCTGGTTTATACATGGACCGAGAGGGTCTATTTATGCATGTCTTTTTACACAACTTGCTTACGTTTGTACACTGAACTTAATAAGCATAAAATTCAACTATACCTGTACATAAAGTAATGTTTTGTAAAATCCAAACACGGACTCAGAATTCAAATTCTCTGACTAACCAAGAATAGCTGTGCAAGACAGCCGATGGTGTAAACTTGATGTCTTTCACTTGTTTTTTCTGAGAGATAAAAGCAAGTTGTTATCAGAAAAAACAGTATGGTTCTTTCAGACAGAATGTGAACATTTAACACAGTGTAGCCCAACCAATGACAATACCAGAAACCATTAGAGCGCCCAATGGCTGCTTGCCAAGGGAGATAACCCTCTCCAAGACAGGCAGAATCTTGGCAGAGGGTTATCAGGTGCGTATGCCACTGCTACACATGGTCGAGTCTTGCTATGTTTTTGCCCGATGGCTAAAGCAGGCAGCTGAAGCAATCTCACAGAATAACACACTTCTTCTTCTTGGGTGGCTCTGGGGGTTCCAGAGCTGCCAGGATTGCTTCATCAAATACATTCTTTAGGCCTTTCTGTAAACAAGGAAACAGATTTGGTAAAGAGTGAGTGAGTTGGGTTTAACACTGCTTTTAAAAGTATGACAGTATTCTGGGCATATAAGAGTGTGTCAGCTTATCAAGGGAGGTAAGCCAGAAGTGATGCAGGTCTGAGATGTTTACCACTTTTGCGAAACCCACAAGCATGGTAATGGACAAACTTAGAATGATAATCATAGGTCTCTGGCATGCCCAAGGGAATTGCAACATCTTAGACACCTTAGGCCCCCCGTAAAAATTGAATGTTTTTTTGGGTTTTTTAATGCTGCACTCAGCAATATTCTATTAATAATCAAGTCTGGACCAGACAATCCAGTGATCGATTCTTGCAATTGGGATCGATGACATGCATCAACCAAGTCAGTGAGTCTGACCACCCAATCCTGTTAGTCGCCTCTTACGACAAGCATAGTCACCTTTTACGGCAAGCATGGGTTGCTGAAGACCTATTCTACCCCTGATCTTCACGGGCCTAAAAATTATTTACTGTACGAGTGAGTTAGTATGGTTTTACACCACTTTTAGCAATATTCCAGCAATATCACAGCAGGGGGGCATCGGAAATGGGCTTCACACATTGAGTACATGTCAGGATTTGAACACAGTTCTTCGGCGTAAATCGCAAACACCTTAACTCTTTCAACACCGTAGGCCGGTTATCCGGCCAAGAAGCATCGAGTCCCCAGACACCGCAGGCCGGTTATCCGGCCAAGCCGTAGTCACGTCAAAATAGTATATATTTTTATGGACCTACCTGTAATGTCATTCATTTATTAAATCTATCACATTTCACAATGTCTGAAATACATACTCCATTTTAATTTAACATTTTTTATCGTTAAATTAACAAATTATTTACTATTTCTCGGACACACATTTCGACAACGGGTCCACATCGAACACGTCACAGAGGAAAATAAAGACGTTTTAAACAAATCTTTAAATATATTATACAAAGTAATAAATAAAATCAACAAAAATATATCTAAAAGTAGTCAAACTTACATCTATATTATTATTTCCATCTTTTCGTGCGATCGCGTGTAATGTAAGTCAAATGACATCTCGGCTTTTGTCGCCTTGAATTCTCGGCTCGGACACGATGTTTAATGCAAAAATATATGCATGAAAAATCTTTGTCACAGCTCGTAACCTAGCACGATACATTCACGAAGTTCCATATTTTTAATATATATCGTGATTTCCTGCTCAAAACGTTCAGAATAACACGATTTAAAAAAATTCTTTCGCAAACTTCTGTAATTTATCGAACACGAGCTTGGTATCACAGCTGTAATTTGATTGGCTGCCTTAGGTCACGTGCTCAAAATTGACCAATCACGGAACTTGTAGCAGATTTCAGCAAGAAAGCGTCATTAGAAACCAATTTTAATCCAATGAAATCGCCTGTTATAACTACGGAAAAAAAACAGGCGATGTTACGAGCGTGTAGATGAAGGAATAAGCTTTCCAGCGATGTGTCATATGCCATTCTTCGACGCACGTGTTATTCATACGAAACCTCGAAAACAGGGGTATTTCTTCATTTTACTGAGCGGAGAGTCGCTGTTATCGGGAAATGGGCGATGACAGAAACTATTTATAATTCTTTTTAAAAAGATTTTCCAATTACGTAAACAATGAAAATAAAACAGAAATAGGTACGTGGATATTATGAAATCATATATTTGCCGAAAATCGTCAAGTTTTTGCTTCCTTGGTCCTTAATCTGGATGTGTACAACGTGTTAGCGTACAATTTTTTATTTACAACGAATTTAATTAAGTTGTAAATGTATTTTTTTAAATAATGTGAAAAACATAACTTTCATATTTTTAAACCATAGGATCAGACCTTTCAAATGGTGTATAACATGTAGTAGCAAATATATTTTACAAGCAGGTATTTTCTTTGATAAATGTTGGCTTCATCTATCACACAAGAGTCTCTGGGAACTCGGTGTCCCAGCAGTAAACACTTCTGGTTGACTGGTGTTGAAAGAGTTAACCACTAGACTACCCGACCGCCCCTTCTATGACTATATGATGCATATACTCTCATTCATTAAAGTGATGAATGGGTGCACTGGTCAGCTGGAATAACGCCACTTTGAACAGTATTCCAGTTATATCATTGCATGTCCCCTTGATGTGGGAGGAAAGCCTGAAGTGATGCAAGTCTCAGAGGTTGACTGCTTTGGTGAAACCTACGAGCACAGGTATGGTGCGGACAAACCTAGGAACAAAACAGGGCGAAAGATTCTGTTTGTATGCCTACCTGTGTTAGTGCAGAGCATTCAACAAATTTCACAGCCTTCAGTTCCCTTGCCAGCTTGTCTCCTTGTTCAGCTGTTATTGGTTTCTGTTTGTTCTTGGCAAGTTTCTCTACAGTAGCTGCATCGTCTCTCAAATCTATCTGTGTTCCCACCAGGAGGAAGGGTGTTTTATTACAGTGGTGAACAATCTCAGGTACCCACTGAAACAAAGCGACAACAATAATGAACACAAGCGGTATTAATCACAATGGTAAGCAGTGATGAAAGTTGAGGGTCCCTTGCCATAACCCTATTGTTGAGGTGAGGTGAGGTGAGGTGAGGTGAGGTGAGGTGAGGTGAGGTGAGGTGAGGTGAGGTGAGGTGAGGTGAGGTGAGGTGAGGGTGAGGGTGAGGGTGAGGGTGAGGGTGAGGTTGGTTGGTTGGTTGGTTGGTTGGTTGTTGTTGAACGCCACACTCAGCAATATTCCAGCTATATGACTGCGGTCTGTAAAATAATCGAGTCTGAACCAGACAATCCAGTGATTGACATCATGAGCATCGATCCCCGCAATTGGGATCAATGACATGTATCAACCAAGTCAGCGAGCCTGACCACCCGATCCCGTCAGTCTCCTTTTACGACCATCGTAGTCACCATTTATGGCAAGCATGGGTTGCTGAAGACCTATTCTATCCCGGAATCTTCAAGGGTCTGAGGTGAAGTGAAGTGGGCTATACGCCATGTTCATGATTACTGCACTTGTACCGCAACGCATGTGCGTGTGTGTGCGCGTGCATCGTGTCTGTTCTAGTCCAGATGCTGAGTTCATAGTGCTAGCCCACGGAAATACCAGGCGGCAGTTTAACACCAATAACCCACTCAGACACAGTATACTGACTGAGCCGACCAGTCCTTGTTTTAGCCCCTTCATGCCAAGCGCCATACTGGGTATAACAAGTACCATTGTTACAGTAAGAGTTTCAAGGGGTCCCCATTATGGGAGCAAAGCTCAAAGACACCAGTTCCCACCATTTTCCAAAACTGGATACGATGAAACAAAAGATTGTGGCTGCTCATGTGAGGGAAAGCATACTATTTTGAAGTCTTCACTCACTGCCAATAATATAGCCATGTCCTGAAATGTTAGAGATATGTGAGTCCTTTAGACTTTCTGCTATAGGATATTAGCTAGGGACCCCTACACATCAATTAATCATGACAAGAACTCATTAAAGAACACTAAAGAACATGATCATCATCGATCATGTCATCAGATATTGTAAAAAGAATGAGATTGAGTGCTGCTATCCAATTAGTAAAAAAACCCAACAACATTAAATGGCAATGGATCATGGACATCTTTGAAACTATACAATGTGTATGAATACTTTTCCTTCACAACCTCACAACCTCACAACCACACAACCACACAACCACACAACCACACAACCACACAACCCCCCCCCTCCCCCTCCCCCCGCATTAACAAAATATATTTTACCAATATTTATCAGAAGAACTTTAATTTATCATACTACATATCACTCTCTCTCTCTCTACATGAACTGTCACAGTTGTGAGAGAGACATGACGTTACTGTGGAGTGCAATGGAGTCAGGATACCATGTCCTTAAGGTCACCTTACCATGCTTGCCTTTTCTGGAACATTTATAAATTACTATGGTGACATTATTGAGAAACAACAGTGCACCAGCCTCGCGTGTTCATTGACATTTTCAAATGCTGAAGATGGTGCAACCGAGAATCAGTGGGCCATTGTTACCCTTTTTTTCAATATTTTTTAAATGATGAGGGTAGATCTGATACGACAAAGAAAAAGTGAGCCAGCCTTACCTTTTCTTTAACATTTTCAAATGATGAAGGAGATACTACTGAGAAACAGACTAGGAACACGTCAGTTTGGGGATAGCTGAGTGGGCGGAGTCGATCATAATCCTCCTGTCCAGCTGTGTCGAACAACCCTAGTGTGTAGGGCTCGCCTCCAATCATCACAGTTACAGCATAATTGTCAAATACCTGCAATAACAATGTCATCAACATTATCAATAAGCTCTTGTTACTGGAGATGAGACCACATGGTAACCGGCCTCGAAGGGTACAGTGCTGGAGAGATTGCTTGAATAATCGGACAAAACGATTATCGCTCTTCTGAAAGGTACAATCGACATAGAATGTCATATGAAATCAAAAATAAAGTCAGGACTGCAGTATACCAGTGCAACTGGAATGCAGGATTTCAGTCATATACAAACAGATCTATACATTGCATTCTTGCGAGGACACAAACGTGCTTACAGCGTCGATTCACTAGAACGCTTTTTGTCTCAGATCATGCTGTTTGACGCGTCACTGGTCTCATCTGTCAATACGACCATATTTAAATAAGTTTATATTATACATTTCACAATCATCATGATCATATCCCCCAAACATGATTGACAGATATGCAAATCTTCATGAAGGGATAGTTGACATCTACTGCACATATAAGCTGGGCTTCACCTTGATTGCATTTTACTGATCAATCACTCTGCAAGTCCAACTATTATTAAAGTTATTGTTCACTTAAGCAAAAGAACTATTAGACATGTTTGTTACTTGACGCCTTGTTTCGTTCGACATGTTCAATGCCTCCATGTTTAACAGATAATTTTATTTATATTTTTGAGTTTTATGGAATGATATTAGTATGAATGTATCATACAGTTGAATTTCATGTCATAATACACTAAGACATATGCTAGGACAACAAAGTTCAGCGACTGTCATTGGTTCAAGATTAATAGAGTGTACTACATTATTCTGAGGGCACTGTCCTGAATGAATAAATAAATAATTGTCTTGATGAAGAAACATGTGGAAGTGTTGACAAATGTATACTCACACGCAAAAGAAACGCAAGTGGTTTTAAGCAAATAGGTAACAAACACGGAACCATAAATTGATACGAGTTTTAGCATGTAGTGAAGCCTGATGGTGTTATCAATATTTTAGGTTGCATTGGAAGCCCCGAGTAAAAACGCAAAATAAAAAACGAATCGCCAAAACGCACCATTTCAATGAATATGTGGGTATCATGCACCCATTTCTCGCGAAATCAAAAATGCACAAACTGTAGAGGGTATAAAACTGTGGCCTATTCTTGGACCCACCACTCCTTGGTCAACAATGCCACGCCTAACTCAAATTCAGAGAAACCAGGCTATCAGACGTTTGGAAGCTGGAGAGTCTGTCCAAGATGTTGCCCGTCATTTCAACGTTAACATAACCACAATTTACCGTCTCCTGCATCGATACAATGCTACACAGACAACAGATGACCTTCCTCGGAGCGGTCGTGCTAGGGTCACCAGACCTCGACAAGATCGGCAGATTACCCATCAACACCAGCGACATCCGTTCCTAACTGCAAGTGAAAGTGCTCGACAGACCTAAGGAACACATAATCGACACATTAGCTGGGACATTGTGATCCGACGTCTCCGTTCCAACAACCTCAGATGTTGCCGACCAGCACGTCGTCCTGTTCTCCAACCACGGCACTGACAAGCACAACTTCAGTGGGCACAGGGTCATCACAATTGGCGTCATCGTGAGTGGAGGCATGTCATCTTCTCTGATGAAAGTCGCTTTTGTGTCTCCCATGCAGACGTAAGAGTCAGAATTTGGCGGCGTCAAGGTGATCGTTTTGCTGACAGAAACGTTGTGGAAAGGTATCCATGGGGTGGACCTAGCGTCATGATATGGGCAAGGATTGGACTTAATGCGAGACTTGGACCCATGTGCTTTCTGAATGTTGGTCAAAGTCGGGGACACGGCGTCACTGCTCAGCAGTATATCGACAAAGTGATCAGACCCCACGTTGTTCCATTTTTTGCACAACATCAACCACACATTTTACAGCAGGACAACGCTCGTCCCCATGTTGCCAGAGCTACCATGGCCGTTCTGCAACAACACAGCATCCGTGCTCTACCGTGGCCAGCCCTCAGCCCTGATCTGAACCTCATCGAACACTTGTGGGATGAGGTTCAAAGGCGTCTGCACAATGTGCGCCCAGTCCCTACAACTGCCGATGAACTACGCACAGCTGCTCTGGATGTGTGCAGGAGGATCACTAGGGCCTTCACAAATCGTCTGATCCACTCAATGTACAGGAGATGTGTGGCAGTGATCAATGCTAATGGTGGTCACACCAGGTATTGACTGACATTTTGGGTATTGATCCGAAACTGTGTAAGCCCTTAACATTTGAAAAAAACAATTATGTCATCTGCCTTTTAATCCATTAAACTGTCTTCAGTCAAATTTTTGTCAATCTTGCCCTATTAGTATTTCTTGTCTTTACTGTTGAAAATAGGTAACATGTATACTGCATACTCGACTTGCGTTTCTTTTGTGTGTGAGTATATCTTTTACATATAATGATTCACAAAAACATTATTTGGAACTGTGATTTTCAGCTACAAATTAAACGGGGATTTCCTTTTTGAAGGAATGAAGCATAAGCTGTACAGATACTACAGACACACAAACACTGAACATACTGAAGGAATATTCAATGAATTAACTTCACCATAGTAAAAGGGCGGCGGGTTAGCCAAGTGGTTAAAGTGTTCACTGGTCACCAAAGACCCGGGTTCGATTCCCGACATGGATACAACGGGTGAAGCCCATTTCTGGTGACCCCGCCGTGATATTGCAGAATATTGCTAAAAGCTGTGTAAAACCATCGTACTCATTCAGAATAGTAAAAGGTCATAAAACATGGTTGACAGCATCATATTCTAAATGCAAATATCCACTGTAGGTCCACTGTCTAAATGAGGGCTTAGGTCTTTCAAAATGAATATGCTTAGTCAGGGTTTTAGGGGTGTCAAGATAAATCAAGTGCTCAATAAATCGATTGTTAAATCAGTTTCCGATCAATAATATCGATTTCAGTTAGGAATATTGATAGTTTCGATTGTATTTACCATATCAATAAAATACAACAATGCTGTTCAAATTTGGTTTTCTTTTGATCATGACTGGTAGAAATTTACACATGGTAATGTGGAAGTTTCTTTTTCTTAAATTATTAGGGTAAAGAAAACAAAAATCAGTCATATCTCAAACTTTACTTTTTATTTGTTGTTATGGATATCATTTAAAGGAAACTTCAGTTCCAAAGTTTAATTGAACTCTAAAATCCATCTAAAATGATACACCTAAAACTATCAATATTTATCACAATAGTTGCTTGCAATATCAATAGTTATTGCAATTGTTTCTTTCAATATCAATAGTTATCGCAATTGTTTCTTTCAATATCAATAGTTATCGCAATTGTTTCTTTCAATATCAATAGTTATCGCAATAGTGATTTCCAGACTAAGTCATCCCTAATAAATGTGTGTAATGAAATCAGGACTAGTGAAAAGTTGCCAGGACAGTAACTACTGCTGCTCTGTATAACCTTCAGATTTAAAAATAAGTACAAAAGTTTGATACTAGCTAATCCTCATCCTCATATTTCCTCCATTCCATTATGGTCAATACCCAGAGCTACAGATAAGCTGCTTATCTGCGTAAAATACCCCCCAAAACTGTTCAAAGCCCAATTACTTTCAATTAATTTGCGTACAGAAATGCATGCATTAAACGGAAAACTCAATTGTTTGAAAACAGCACACGTAAATACCCAATGATGCTTTTTCAGCATGCGTACAAAGGAACTAATTTTCGACACACAATGACAAGCTAATTTACTTCCCGAGTCAAGCCTATATTTAGAACTGTTATCATGGTTATATACATCTAAAACATTATTTGATTTTTTTCAAATCTCAAAATGCTTACTCATTTATGGAAAAACCCATTAAAGTGATGAATAGATGAGTGAAAAAATATTAGTTACCTAATGAAAAATGTAATAACCCAATTAAAATAGAAACCTTTGAGTAAAAGCTCAATTGCTCAATAAGTTGTCTGGAGCTCTGAATACCCCACATCATTTCCTACCAAGCTTTGTATCAGAAGTGACGTCACAATTGCCCTTTCTCTTATCACCAATTTAGCACAGAATTTCTCTCAGTCATGAACTTTAAATCAACAATCAATCAAAACTCCACCTCTGAAAGCTCGGTCAGCATAGATCCACTTTCAACATCGGGTATCCTAAATGTGAGTCCTTGACATATATATGTAACCAAGTAAGTTTAATCTGAAGTTTGCTGGAAAGAGTATTTCCATGAGTTTTAAGACAGGGGGAGTCCTTCCCAGCTGTACTTGAGACAGCTGGAAACAAGCTTGGTTGATACTGGTGATACTGTTGTTTGTTTCAAAAATGAAAGAACAGTGTCATTGGATATCTACAGCATCCAGTCTCAAAATGAAGCTGTGGTAGCAAATGGGTCCTCAGTATATATCACAAGGAAGAGAATTTATGGATGTCAACTTCTTTATTATAAGAAACACGTTTTGGAATTTATGCTTACTCCTTCATCAGATGGATAATTCATTCACCTGATGAAGGAGTTAGCATATACTCCGAAACGTTGTGTTCCTCATAATAAAGAAGTTGACATCCATCAATTCTCTTCCTTGAGTGTATCACTATCACTTCTAAATGCCTTTCAAGAGTATTAATCGTAATGGAATAAAGACAAAATATGCTCATTAATTGATCATGAGACAGCTTGAAGTCAGCACATTTTTGTATCCAATAAGTATCATATCTTCATCAGAATCGAGCAAGTTGTTGTCAACTCAAGTTTGTGATGAAACAAAACAAACCATGCCCTGTGCTTACCGTTGGGACATATTCTGAAGGGAACTTGTTCGTGGTGTACGAGATAAGTAGGCAGGTTTTACCCACAGCTCCATCACCAACCACCACACACTTTATCGTCTGCATTCTGCCTATTGTTGGACTCTACCAGCAGTTCTGAAATAGAGAGACAGAAAATAACTGAAGGACTCTTTAAGACTTAAGATCACTGTTCTTTATGGCCTCAGGATGTCAAGTTGCAGCAATGGCACACTATGACTCAATCAATACCAGTGTTAAACATTGGCACTAGTCCTACGGCCCTTGCCGAACTGCCCAATACCTAAGGTATCCTAAGGACCAGTAGAAATTTGGCCTGTTAGGTGTTTTGCTGTTATCAATATAAGGACTAGTGGGCTATTGTTAGATTCTGTTGTTAAATACATTGATGGAAATATTGCAATATGACAGTTCTAGATAAGCTGCATACTTGCATAGAATAAGCAAAATAAAATGCAGCTTATCGTGTGTTGCTCACATATAGATACACATGAAAGAGTTCAACAGCAGCCTATCAGTACAACAGTCAGAGTAATTACCCAATGTATCCTTTTCAAATTGCATACTGATGTTTCAACAGAGATTTTTATTTACTGATCAAATGCAGGCATCACACACACACAAACTCTACTGCTGTGAATATTGCATAAAAAGGCGCTATGCCACTTATTGTTAATAAAACATGTATATCACTGCTGTGAGTTTATGTGACATGTTTGACATGAATACCCAACAAACTGGACCCAAGGTAGTCAAATATATTGAAAAGAAGAAAACTATCAATACCCAATGTGAATGATAACTTAAGAGTTAATACTCAATGGCTAAAAACATTATCCGGAGCCCTGAATATGACATACAAAAGCCATGCAAACCCAAATCTGAGTATGCTGAATCAGCGCAAAATTACAATGGCTTGAGAAATAAATCACAAAGGAACTCAGAGAAAACAAGGAAAGAAAAGGATTTTACAGTTTATTTTAACACTAAAAAAGGGCCTAAATAAATGAGTAAATTGCATTTGGTTCTCATTTCCTGAGCAAATCAAAGGAGTCAAGCTGAATGCATTTCTTTGGTACACAATGTTCAATAAAAGAGAGAAAAAAAGAAACCAAACAGAGTTAACTTAACATAGTTCTCAAACATGTGACATAACTGCGGGTTTTTTTAAAAAAAGGTGAGGTGAAAAGGGGTTTCACGTATATGTGTGTATGTGTTTGCACGTGTGTGTGTGTGTGTGTGTGTGTGTGTGTGTGTGTGTGTGTGTGTGTGTGTGTGTGTGTGTGTGTGTGTGTGTGTGTGTGTGTGTGTGCTTGTACTACTCCCGACTGATGCCGATTTATAGTGCTAGCTCACTGAGATACCATGCTGCAGTTTAACATGAATACCCTACTCAGACACAGTATACTGACTCCGAGCCCACCAGAACTTGTTTTAGCCCCTTAATGCCTAGTGCCAGACAGGGTAACAACAAGTGCCATCTTTTAACGTCTTTTGGTATGACACGTCCAGGGATCAAACCCCAGACCTTCTGCTCTACCATAAGACCACAGAGGCAGTATGAAAAAAAAAGAATAGAAAAAGAAACAAGATCAACTATTTTAAATCAAGTGTAATCAGGACTACAATGATATTTTACTTAGACCTAACTGTCCTCCTTACAGCATGTAAAGGCATATGTATCTTTTGTATTAATGCATGACTTCCCATTACGATACCCCAATTGTCACACTAAGGAAGCTAACTGTAGGGATGCACTGAAACGGTTGTGAAACAGAACATGCCTACAGAATTCAGCCAATAGAGTATGAGCGTATATTTTTGTCATGATGTTGGATATTTTCTTGAGTATCCATGAATTTAAAAAACATAAAATGACAGGATATCTTGCTTTCAGTTTTTTCTGAAATATATTTACGGACTTGGCAACAAAAATGCCAAAATAGAATCAGTTTAAACGAAAAATGCCAGTTAACATGGTTAAGAGAACAGGTTTCAAACTAACATTCGACTAGTCTGAGACTAGTGAAATTCTGGAACTGGCGACATTTCTCAGTAGACAACTTTTACAATTAGGTATATAGCAACTTTTGTAGCAGATCTTTTTTGCTGACAAGTGAAAGTATATATTAATCTCTAGTCCTGAAAGGACAACTGGAATGTTGTGTATTTTTGTAGTCACTGGTACCAGGATATTATGAGGCAGTTAGAAATGCATTAAATTTTCTATGCCATGGGACATTCAAATTCCCACCATAATCTTCACTTATTTTGTCTCCGAGTTAGGAAAACAAGGAAATCCTTTGTGTCTGTCAATGAGAAAATAAGCATTTATTTCCTTCTCCACAGACTACCACTAATTGTGGGTTCTGAATTCTCATTGGCAACTTCCTTCACACATTTTCTGTAGAGGAAAAGTACTGACACTGACAGGCAGTCTCAATATATATTCTTTCAGAAATCAGAGCAGGGTTAGAAACTAACAGTTTTTGTCCACCAGTCCTTATAATGATAACATATAGTAAAACCTTAAAACGGGCCAATTTCTACTAGTCCTTAGGATACTTTTACTATTGGGCAGTTTGGTAAGGGCTATAGGACTAGTGCCAATTTCTAACGCTGCAGAGAGAGGGATACATGTACATCCAAGCAGCAATGTTAAAGCAACAGTACAACAGTCTGTAAGTAACAGTCTGGACTTAACAAACCATAGTTTGAAGGCATGAGTACAATGACACACGTGATCCTCATAATTCGTTCTTACAACCAACATGGGGTTTGGGGCTGAAATGACTGGTTAATGTGTATGATATCCATCACAATGTACACATTCTGAGTTTGTCAAGTGCAGATGTTTATCTAAATTATATGAAACAGTCAAAATGATGAATATTTGACTCTCAAATAAAAACATCTGTGCAAAACAACTAAAAATCATAGCTAGACTGATGAAGAATTTAGCAATAACGTTTGTCACCCACTTTACACAAGTACACACGGCTTGTGAATCTAAATTATATGAAACAGCCAAAATGATGCATATTTGACTCTCAAATAAAAACATCTGTGCAAAACAACTAAAGATCAGAGCTAGGCTGATGAAGAATTTAGCAATAACGTTTCCATCCACTTAACACAAGTAAAGCTGTCACATGGCTTGTGAATCACTGAGTGTAATGATGCACATGTCGTACTGACCCTTAATCATGTTAAAGCTTCGAATAGTCAGTCATATAGGACATGAATTGGACATTTTCAACGCTGATTTATTTTTAATTTCAACAAATCAGTCCGTCTTATATGTCTGAAATGAATCAGACATTTGGACGAACTTGAAGCCCTACCGAAATTTCATGGCATATAACATTAGATATTTCCCATGGTACATAACAAGAAAATTTAAAATGCAAGTTAACCTACCCGAAACATGGAATTAAGCAATGCAAGACTAGTTATGGGGACCTAGTTATTGTTGTATTTCTTCACAAGTGACCTAAGTTAGTCATATAGGAGTGCTAAGAGCTTTGAGAGGAAGTACTTCCGCCGAGCATGAACGCTGTGCAAAACTCAAAACACTTTGCCCACAAGAAAGAATTACCGAAAAGTTAAAACATAAAATAATTACATATCAACTGATAGTGTACAGTAGGTACACAATGCAACACACGCTGATTTCAGATCTTACAAATCGGCCGGTTTAATGGGAGGGAATGTTATTTGACATGCAGAGGGTCCGCCATTTTGGTAAGTTTCAGATACTCCACCTATTCCCGGTGTGATTACGCACGATTGAAGCAGGTATCTCACCACACATGAACCTGTTGTTGATTTTATCACGATGAAGGTAGCACATCCATGAGTTATAACAAGTAACTCGTATTCAGAACTTACGCTTTTTAGCCGGGCGTAACTGTCAGATGGAAGCTATATTCATCAATCTAGGCGGAAGAGTTGACAGTGCTGAACTGCGCATGTGTACCGGAAATGTGATGTCATTCTATTTTTAGAACCCCCTCGTACGATTGGATTACTGAAATTTACTGGAAATAGACAAAATAGATAAAAGTCATGGCGAACATAATGTTACCAAGCGATTGATAATTTAAGCGATTATTATATTTTTTTCTCCCTTTTAAACATTTCCTCCAATAATAATAACTCTCTCAATACGCATGAAGGACGTATTTCAATATCAATCCTGAACACATCTTTAGTATATTTAGATATGTCGAATAAAGGTTGTTACACGATAAGGTCAGAAAATCAATTTTCAGTCGATAAATATTAATTTAATACACACGAGTGCCGTATAAATGTAATGGCCTAGATATTGCGAAAGACTTCCTTGTCATAATTACTCATTAATACATCACCAGGAAATGTTAATCTTCTACACTTAAGAGCAGTCATAAAAAAAATTAGCCACGTTAAATCTTTATCAGCATTTAAGTAATAAATGTTTACAATAAATTGAATATACTGTAACAAACACATAGACACTTGTGACGTGATACAGTTTCGTTTTCTCCCTAAGCGTTAGAGTGGTCATCCTGACACGCACACATTAAGATCATGCTTGTGGCTTTGCCATGGGAAAGGTAGGGCAGACGAGGGGTGTGCTTTGTGGTACGTGTATGTCATGGGCGATAGGCACAGCGATGGTGTGTATCCACATGCCTCGGTACTCTGACAATCCCCCTTGGACAGGCTAAAAGCCTGAACTCAAGGCCAACATTTAACCCTTCTGGGTAGACTGACATCTAGTCTCTGAAATGAACATATTTTACGGATAAAACAGTCGTTAAATTATAGTTATGAAATATAATAAAAAGCAGCCCAGAGGCTGGCTCACTTCATTTTCAGTAATCTAGACTTGCTAAATATTATAGACTTGCATGGGCTGTATTGGGTGTATTTGTTACAAGGCCTGTATGAAAGACAGCCTTATATGTGTATCATCATCATCATCATCATCGTCGTCGTCGTCGGCGTCGTCGTCGTCACACCGAAGGCCCGGGTTCGATTCCCCACATGGTTGCAATCAATGTGTAAAACCCATTTCTTGTGTCACCGCTGGGATATTGCTGAAAGCTGCGTAAACGTCAAAAGTCGAGACACAATTTGACGTTAATACAACATGTAATCCTAACTTTGACATTACGGTTGGTGAGTTGAGTTTCACACCGCTCTTGCTGTTGTTAACACTTTGCTGGGCCCCAAGAAGTGGCCTCACAACTTCTACAGGCCGGAATCGAACCGGGCATCGGCGCGAACAGGGAACGCCTTATACACAAGGCTAACAAAAAAAAATTAATATTATAACTTAAAAGACACCATATGTTGATAGTCAAATGGCATAGGACATGATATGGCTGGAATAATTTTATTAACTATCTCAAAACCAACTCACTTATTCATTCATTCATTCATTCATTACTGTCACCGAAACGCAAACGACCACACGTTTACTATGGTATTCACAAGGAAGTGGTTTTCCTCTTTAGTTCAATATTTAAAGTTCATTATTAAATTTTGGTCCAGGCAATTACTTTAAAAGTGATCCGTCAAGATCCGGGTTAGAATAGGTCTTCAGCAACCCATGCTTGCTGAAAGAGGCGACTAACGGGATCGGGTGGTCAGGCTCGTTGACTTGGTTGATGCATGTCACCGTATCCGAATTGCGTAGATCGATGCTCATGTTGTAATCACTGGACTGTGTGGTCCAGACTCGATTATTTACAGACCGTCGTCAGCTGGAATATTGTTGAGTGCACCGTTAACAAACACACAAACAAACTGAAAGTTCAGAAAACAGGAAAACACATGTAAGTTCAGGTGCAGGATAATTACAGACGTCATTATACGTAAGTCATGTGTTTCCTAAGGCCATTTTTAAGTATTGCTTACCTGGAAAGGAGCGGACCAATACATTTGACAGACAGCCGATTGATCAACGGTGTGCCCGATCGGCAATGCTGTTGATATTTTATACCTCGCCTTCGCGTCTATAAATAGAAAACTATTTTTAGATTTCTCCTTCGTTTCCTTCCGTGACCACTCATGTAATTCCGGGACTATCCGAATGTCTTCTTACGGAAAAAGGCGAGTGGTGACGAATGCTTCGCCTGGAGAATTGTTCATTCGGGTTCACTCGGCTTATTCCGTTACCTATAAATCAATCAATGGAAATGCGGGCCGTGAATCGTTCATAAAATCCTACAGTTTTGTCTTCGAGCGTATCCAAAACGGGAGTGATGAACATGTACAATATTTTAATAAATACAATACAATTGACAACTTTTCCTGCGACAATGTACCATATGTTATCTTTGTATTAGGATTCTTCGACTGTTCTAATGAATGAATAAATATAGACATGACTATGTTATATAAATAGCACAAACAACGATTCGTCACGTAACAAAACGCAGCATCGTTTCAATGAAGGGACCTAGTCATGACGAGAATGAAGTACATTTTGGAATAGTATCTTTATATTACTTAGCAAAAGAAAGTATACACCCATGTTTGATGGTGGCTAGAATGAAACAAAAATGAAATGCTTATCCGATGGTGTTGTATTTGATGCGTTTGGTTGGTTGGTTTGTAGTTTAACGCCGCACTCAGTAATATTCCAGCTATATAACGGCGGTCTGTAAATAATCGAGTATGGATCAGACAATCCAGTGGTTGATATCATGAGCATCGATCCACGCAATTGGGATGGATGATATGCATCAACCAAGTCGGCGAGCCTGACCACCCGATCCCATTAGTCGCCTCTTACGACAAGCATAGTCGCCTTTCACGGCAAGCATCGGCTGCTGAAGACCTATTCTACCCCGGATCTTCACGGGTGTATTTGACACGGGCGTCATGGGCGAAATGACATGCATCATTCATATCAACGAGTACTGGTATGTCACAAGGGGCGGTCGGGTAGCCTAGTGGTTAAAGCGTTCGCTCGTCACGCTGAAGACCAGGGTTCGATTCCCGACATGGGTACAATGTGTGGAGCCCATTTCTGGTGTCCCCCGCCGTGATATTGCTGGAATATTGCTAAAAGCGGCGTAAAACCGTACTCACTCACTAGTATGTCACAACAGTTAACGATTTGATAACTATTATATTTTTGTCGGTCAAATCTAATTTTCAAATGTATACTTTCTTTATGCCAGTTAATTATTTTGTTATTCATTTATTAATTTTATTGCTCAGTGGCGATTCCGTGATACGAACCAACTTTAAGGTTCTGGATCGCTGGCTTTGATGGCTGCGTGCCATCTTATCCCTAAGACTTGGGTGTTACTCATAATATCAATCACCAGTTTATCTGGTTTAAATTTGCGTAAAACAACTAACAAAACCTGATGTTTGCTTGTTTATTGATACCCACTTTGTTTACTTACTATCATGGACCCGTGAAGATATGGGGTAGAATAGGTCTTCAGCAACCCATGCTTTCCGTAAAAGGCGACTATGCTTATCGTAAGAGGCGACTAACGGGATCGGTGGTCAGGCTCGCTGACTTGGTTGATGCATCTCATCGTATCCCAATTGCGTGGATCGATGCTCATGTTGTCAATCACTGGATTGTCTGGTCCAGACTCGATTATTTACAGACCGCCACATGTATCTCATATCTGTTAGGGTTGGTTGGGTAGCCATGTGATTCGCTCTTCACGCCGAGGGACTTGGTCTGATTCCCACACATGAGTGAAGCCCATTTCAGGTGTCCCCGGACCGCCTCCGTGGTCTAGTGGTAGAGCGTCCGCCCGGACAGCGGAAGGTCCGGGGTTTGATCCCCGGCCGCGTCATACAAAAAGACGTTAAACGATGGTACTTGTTGTTACCCTGTCGCGCTCGGCATTGAGGGGCTAAAACAAGGACTGGTCGGCTCGGAGTCAGTAAACTGTGTCTGAGTGGGGTATTCATGTTAAATTGCGGCGTGGTATCTCAGTGAGCTAGCACTATGAATCGGCATCAGTCCGGACTAGTACAAGCACACACACACACACACACACACACACACACACACACACACACGTACGTGCATGCATGTCGCTATATAAGTGCAATAATCTTGGACGCGACGTTAAACCCAATTTCCCCTCACCTCACCTCATCTCACCTCACCTCACCTCAGGTGTCCCCTGTCGTGACATTGCGGGAATATTGCTAAAAGCGGCGTAAAACTATCCTCTCTCACTCATATACTGATAATTGCCACAAGTAATTAATATACTGTTTTATTTTAACAAATAATGTATGTATTTTTATATTTTCACAAGTAATTTAATTACATACAGTTTTATTTTAAACTCATTTACCAATACTCATATCCTGCTGAAATTTATGAGCCAATACTCGTCCCATTCTCAACTCTTTGAGCAAATACTCGTCCTATTCTCAACTCTTTGAGGCAATACTCGTCCTATTCTCAACTCTTTGAGCCAATACTCGTCCCATTCTCAACTCTTTGAGCCAATACTCGTCCTATTCTCAACTCTTTGAGCCAATACTCGACCTATTCTCAACTCTTTGAGCCTATACTCGTCCTATTCTCAACTCTTTGAGCCAATACTCGTCCTATTCTCAACTCTTTGAGCCAATACTTGTCCTATTCTCAACTCTTTGAGCCAATACTTGTCCTATTCTCAACTCTTTGAGCCTATACTCGGCCTATTCTCAACTCTTTGAGCCGATACTCGACCTTTTCTCAACTCTTTGAGCAAATACTCGTCCTATTCTCAACTCTTTGAGCCAATACTCGACCTATTCTCAACTCTTTGAGCCTATACTCGGCCTATTCTCAACTCTTTGAGCCAATACTCGACCTATTCTCAGTTCTACCGGCCAATATCCAACGACGTCCCAGCTCTAGGAAATTAAGAAACTTGAGGTTTGCGTAGAGACCAGTTCAAAAGCTCGATGTCGGATTATTGAGCACTGCACTGTTGAATAAACAGGAATATTTCCCCCGGCACACTGCTCTTCATTGATACAGATCGCATGCACTCACTGTCAACCTCGATAATAA